CCCCCGGCGTCCTAGCTAGATCCCAGCGTGGAGGGGTTGGGGGAGGGGGTTAGGCGCTCCCTGAAATTCCCTGCATCGAAGAGACGTGGTGTGCCCTGTGTCTAGTGCAGCACAGCTGCTGAGCTCCACCCCAGAGACAGCTGCCGCTCAGCGTGTGCGCGGGGGCGGTCTGGGATGCTGCTGGATGAAAGGCAATACCATGTCAGGCCAAAATCCTTCCTGGTGTAACTCCATTGGACTCGGCGGAGTTACACCCAGGGTGGAGCTGGCCCGTCATGGTGATGTGAGGGGAAGAGGATTTTTCACTTGTCCAGAGCTCTGATCAGCCAGAACAGACCCTGCATCGATCCAGCTCCCCCCGCACCCGCCGCCTGGTCACCTCCCCTTCCCCCAGCACAACAAAGGTCCCGGGGCCCTGCCTGGCTGGGCAACAGACACCCCCCAACCTCCCTGCAATCCCCCGCGAGCTGTCAGGAACCCAGCAGAACCCCCCCATGCCCACCGGCTCCCAGCAGCACCGTAACCCTTGGTGGGAAGCCCAGAGGCCAGTTCCCCCCACCCAGAGTTCATAGCTACGTGGGGGAATCCGAGGCGCAGAGCCCTCCGTGCGGAGGTGGGGATGGAGAATCAACCCAGTGATGGAGAGATGGACCAAAAAAAGACAGGCGGAGCGGCTGCCGCGGATCTCTCTGTCTCTCCAGACAGATCCCCCCCCCCCCCACCAGCACCCCCACCCAAGCCCCGTCTGCAAGGCCCGCACCGAGCCCGGCTCTGTCTGTTATGCAACGAGCTCCTCTGGAAAATGCACACACACCTTGCCATTGTGCTGAAGCCATCGGCAGCCAGGCAGGGCCTAGGCTCTGCCTCCCGCTGCAGGGAGCTCTGTGTCCGCCCTACAGCTCAACGGGTCCCCACTGAACCTGCTAGATCTGACCGGTCATCACAGCCCCAGGCCGGCCTCAGCCCGAGCCAGGACCCGCGTTCTGCGGCCAGGTCCCCCCCGATCCAGGCACCTCCCCGCGCCCTGGGGCTAGACACGGAGGAGACGATGATTTCCACTGTGCCCCCATCTCCCTCACAATAAAAACAGAGCGTGGATCAACGCCCCCCCCGCGATCGCTCCATGCGGAGCCCACAGTCCCCAAATGTGCCCCCCACCCTCTCTGTCTCCTGCAACAACCCCCCCCAACCCCCTGCAGCTTCAGGGAGGCTGCTGCGGACCCTGCTTAATATGCAGCTCAGGTTGGCATCCTGAATATACAGCTCCCAGCAGGGGGGGGGGGGGGGCCAACCCCCCCCCCCCCCCCCCCGCGA